CCTGCACCTGGGATTATAGTACTTGGCGGCAAGCAGTTCCGAGTAGCGGGTGTTGCAGAGGCGGGCGATAGCAAAGGAGATGGCTCATGTGATGAAGCCTTAGGAATAAAAGAGATCGTAGACGACTCCCAGATCAAGCGCGGGAGCGATTACGATTGTGTCCTTTCGGAGCAAGGTACGTGGGGAGCGGTGGCTCTGTGTATTCGCTTCAGCAACAGGGTACTCATTTTCCGTTGAGTCCTTGCGCTACGTCCTTTTGCTATTTCCTGTCTTCGCACTTCATAGCCACATCTGCCTTCTTTCTTTTTTTCTCCCATCCCATGTGTGTACTCGCTTCAGCAACAGCGCACTCATTTTCCGTTGAGTCCTTTCGCTACGTCCTTTCGCTAAATTAAATTCCTGTCTTCGCACTTCATAGCCACGTCTAACTTCTTTTTTTATTTTCTCCCATGTCTTCCCGGCTGTCTCCTGCTTCCCGTTTTCTTCTTGCTTGTCCGCCTCGCCTTCCCGTGGTATGGACTAGATTAACGCCCTCGTCCTCTTTGGAGTCCTTTTTCTCTGTTTACGTTTAACTTATCTCTCTCCGCGAAATCCGCAAATAGAAGCTGCAACGATGGATGTGATGCCGATGGAAAAGAGTCGGCAGAAGAGAATTCAATTTGGCAATTAATCTTCGCCTACGTAAGTAAGCAACGAGAAGCTGCACTCTGAAGTGCGGTGGTTTCAGTTCGAACGCAGCGTGCAGATGTAACGCCAGGGTCACGCTATTAGCAGTGTAGAGTCCTGCTGTTTGTCGAGTCGGACGCAGTGCGGTCTCTGTGGTGTGCTATTTTCATCAACCTGTTGGTAATAATGTCTGATTTGTCTGACGAGCAGATCTCTGAGTTCAAGGAGGCTTTCAGTCTTTTCGACAAAAGGGATGGCGATGGTACGGCAACTATGTACCTTGTGCGAACGACCGGTAGAGGCCCACTTGCGGATTGTATTTCAGGAAAAAAAATGGATGTTCGTTTACTCTGTTGCTGGGTTTGTTGGACTTGTCTTGTTAATTTAATATAATATCTACGAGGGATCATGAGGTCATGGCTGTGGCTGTGGCTGTGCTGTGCTCTCTCTTCTTCGCCGTCATCTCTCAGTCGTTTTCATCTCTCGCGTTAGTGTGCTGTGTATGCTCGCAAGCGTTGTGTGTTCATGTGCGTCGATCTGACTCGCAAAGACCTACTTCCGGACTGAACTCTTACAAGGAAGAAAGAGTGTTGTCGTCGTATTGTGGTGCCCGTTTCGTTGGTCTTTTCCATACTGTATGCGGCCGTCCTCTCCATCGTTTATGTAGAAAAGATTATGGCTGTGGCTGTGGCTGTGGCTGTGGCTGTGCTCTCTCTTCTTCGCGTTCGCCTTCCAGTTGTCTCTACGTCAGTGGGGTTGGTGTGCTTGGAAGCGTGTCGTGGTAATCTGGGTCGATCTCCGGATCGTTCTGATGAATTACTGTTACTGTAGTTGACGTTTATTTTCTTACCCTTGTCAGATCCACTAGAGTATAATTGATCCTTTCTGCTCCGAGATTAACCAACCGCGGAGCTTGATCGCTTGCCTCATTCAGTCGATGAGGGCGGCGATAACTTGGTGAAGCGTGTTGGTTCTTGGTATTCGTCTCCCTGCTTGCGATGACATGGCGTCATTTTGGGTACCTATTCGCTTGTCTCATTCAGTCGATGAGGGCGGCGATAGCTTTGTAAAGCGTGTTGGTTCTTGGTATTCGTCTCCCTGCTTCCGAGGACATGGCGTGATTTTGGGGACCTATTCAAGTTATGAGGGACTCTGCGCATGCTTTTGGCGGTTTCCGTTTAGCGTGGAAGGAGGGTGTCATCCGTGAATGGTTAATAGGCGATTTGCGTGGTGCATTCGAGTCCCGAGCCCTCGTCTTCGAGTGCTTCCATGCCAGCTCGTTCACCTCTTTCGGCGGAAAGAATGGTAGCTTTCAGGATCTGTTGTTGCTAGGTTCTGGCCGGCAGTGAAAATAAAGCGCCCGGTTATATGGCTGCGGTGTTTTCGTTCTGTATACCGTGACAATGACCGTGCGAGTGGGAAGTTTTGACGATCCTTATGTTGTGCGGGCCGATAATATTGAGTGTTATCTGAACTTTCAGGTTGAAATTGGCTAGAATAAAGTCATTTGCTTGCAAAAAAACAAAAAAACAAAACAAAAAAAAAAGAAGCTGCACTCTGTTCCCTTCGAGTGAATAAGGTAACCGTTGTTCTGTCTGTCTATCTGTCTCACTCTCGCCCCCCCCCCCGCCTCCCCCTTTCCCTCTCGACTGTTTGATTCCCTTTAAATTTTGTTTCTGTGGATCGTTCGCTGGTGTTTGTATATAATTGGCACAACATATTCGCAGCAGTTTGGAGAGGTTTCAAAGTTGATGGTCGTAAGAGACCTAAGGTAGACAGGAGACACTCTATGGATTCGGAAGGTCCAACTAGCTGTACGTACAATGGAAAGGAAGCTGTCAATGGAAAGGAAGCTGTCCGGCGGCAGGAAACGCAGTGGTGTAAAGATTCTGGAAGTGCTGTGGTTTTCCCATTGCGGCATGAAAGAGAAGCTTCTGTGTGGGGGTTTTCCGATTGTGGCATGAAAGAGAAGCTTCCGTCCGTCCGGTTTCGATCTCCCTCCTACCGTCCTNGGTTTTCCGATTGTGGCATGAAAGAGAAGCTTCCGTCCGTCCGGTTTCGATCTCCCTCCTACCGTCCTGCGTAACACTCCTCCGCCTCTCTGTTTCTCATGTGCGTCCTTGATTTTCTCCCTCCACCAGTTCGTGACTCTCTCATTTACCAGAGACTCACTCGCGCCGCCTCCCCTCTCCGTACTCCACGCTCGCTTTGACCGCTTCCGAGTCGCTGTCAATGTATGTGTATGTGGTGCTGGTGTTGCTGGTGTTGCTGGTGTTGCTGGTGACGACGAGCCTGCCTGGTCTGCACCTGATCTGGTTGCCTTTTTGCCGCATGTGTTGCTGGTGTTGATGGTGACGACTGCTACGGAGTCGCTTGCGTTCGCGTCTTGCTCTTCTGTCCAGGTTTGAAACTCTCTGTTGCCGTGAGCCTACTTCTTGTCTTCCCTGTTTGATATCCTTTTCGTTTTGTATCTCCGTGTGCTGCTCGTAGCTTGTGTGGTAGGTAGTTCAGAGAGGTCGTAGAGCGCTGCGCGGTGTGTTCTCGAGCAAGTCGTTTGTGACGCCATGAGACGTGTGGGCGGGCTCACTGTCGAAGCTGACCAGTCGTGATCCTTACTTGTCACATCGCTGCGTTGCTCTCTCTGTTCGATGGTTGCTTGTCTCTCCTGTTGCTGCAGGGTGCGCTGTTTGGAAATTTGAAGTCGCACACCATAACCTTTGACGCGAAAGTAGTGCCAGTCGCGAAGATGGGTCGGTTTTCGTTGGCCTTGGCCGTTGCCAGCTTGGTCGTCCTGGCTTGCGCCCTCCATGTCGCAGATGCCAAGAAGCCATGTGCCTGTGCCCCTGGGACGAAGCGCTGCTGTAAGGACGGTCCCTGCCTCAAGTGCTGCAAGGATTGTGATTGCGGCCCCGGGAAGAAGTGCGTCAAGGGAGAGTGCAAGCCGTCGTGCGGCTGCCCGGCTGGACTGAAGCGATGCTGTAAGGACGGTCCCTGCGTGAAGTGCTGCAAGGACTGCGATTGCCCCAAGGGGCACAAGTGCGTCAAGGGACAGTGCAAGTCCCCTTGCGGCTGCCCGGCTGGTCTGAAGCGCTGCTGCAAGGACGGTCCCTGCGTCAAGTGCTGCAAGGATTGCGATTGTCCCAAGGGGCACAAGTGCGTCCACGGAAAGTGCAAGCC